TAATTGGCCTTGGGATTTAGCTCTTTCAATCGAGGCTTGGCTAACTTCTACTCCGCTAATACAGTTATGGTGACCTTCAAATTGTGTCTATATACTCACGGTTCTCCAAATAACGATCGGTATAACGCGGATTCTCGACTGTCGCTATGCATCTACCCTAAATAGGTATGCGGTTACATTACACGTATTTTATCAAAATCCGGAACTCGCGGTTTACGACAGCAGAAAATCGCTGAAGTGGCCAGGGATAATTAATGTTCAATATGTGTATCGTTTATTATATGAATAACATTCTAATAATAGTACAAGTTTAATAATAATATTATTATTATCAATTTTCTGATCCATTCACTTTGCTGGGAGATGAATTACAAAGCGACAAAGAACCTATTATTATGGTTGGGATAATAGTTAAGCATATATCCAAGAAAATCGGTATAGAATGCATCAATTGCTAATCACGTTTCAGTTTTAGTATCCACATTTATTAATATTAATCATGTCTTGCCATTTACCTTCGCACGGTTATTTGTGATGACTTCCAACAGCCAAAAGACATTAGGTACTATTCAGTATTGCATATTAACCGACTTTGTTATCATGATTTATTACAGTCATTGTATCTCCCGACACAATAAAAGTGATTTGTCCAATCTGTAACAAACCAATACAAGAAACTTGGATAAACCAACACCTTGACAGTAACTGCGAGGTGCTTGGCCCAAATGCCTCGTTCAAAAGAGAGGGGTCTGGCAAGAACAAAAATGAGGGTGCTGGTGTAAGTAGTAGCAGAATGTTGTATTAGTTTTGCTCTTTATAACGTGTTTGATCGGTGGACGCTCCTCTTCGCACGTTTATCTGCATAATGGACTATGTCTTTCTCAACTTTCTACCATCATATCTACGCGTCAATTAGCTTAAACTCTTTACGCTCAAAACATTTAAACGCAAAAACGCGTCAGAGTCACTTGGTGAAGGAAATACTAGCGAGGTTAATGAAACACCAAACAAGAAAAACAGCGAATCAAAAGGTGTAGTCGTAACGAAATCACCAAAACGGTTGAGGCAGGATAAGCTGGGAACTTCCATGACTCCTCTTGCCGCGAGAGGTATGTGATAATTGCGAATAAAAGATGCACTTAACGAGGACAATAATAGTAAATTGAATGATTTCAAGTTCGACCGACGACTCTTGACGACTTTATTGGACAAGAACAACTGATTGGCACGCAAGGAATATTGCGTACGCTTATGGAACAAGATAAAATTCCGTATGAATTTTATTCAATCCTTACACATTCTCTACCCGATTGTCATTAATTCATTAATTACTTATCAATCGACCTAATTTCAGATCGATGATCTTATGGGCTCCATGTGGATGCGGAAAGACGACATTGGCAAGAGTAAGAATAAATTGTCTATATATGATACAAGCTTATATTTCGTCTGCTAATTATTAATCTCCGATATACAGATTATTGCCAAGATGACAAAATCTATATGTAAGAATCATAACTGTCTGTTTTAATGTGACTGAAAATTGCTCGCGATATGAAAAAGACTTACAGTGATTTCTCGATTTGCCCATATTACGGGGGTTCAAGTCAAAGAATATTCGGGTGTTGCAAGTGGTGAGATGTTGAATCACAAAACTGATGGTTGCGCGAGTATTAATATATAACAGTTTCTGAAAACATATCGCTGACTGTATTGTAGGAGCTGCCGACATGAAGTAATAATTATTTTAAAACTTTCGTTGATCATAATCGTGGTTTTAAACTGTAGTCTATTATATTTATCAGAAAAGCATTTGAAGAAGCAAAGAACGAACAAAGGTTGACAGGCCGACGAACTATTCTTTTCCTGGACGAAATGTAGGTCGATTAAACAATAGTGTTTGTCATCCGCTACTATAATTGTTCTAATGATCTAATCCTTTCTCAGTCATCGATTCAACAAAGCACAGCAAGATCTATTCTGTGAATATACATAAAGATGACAAGCCGTATTTCTTATTCATTCTTATTCGCTTATTGTCATTAACATACCGTCTGTAGTACCGTATGTTGAATCAGGAACAGTCACGCTGATCGGCGCCACCACCGAGAACCCTTCATTTAAAATCAATTCGGCACTCTTGAGCAGATGCAAAGTGTTTACGTTGAATAAATTATCTACAGAGGAAGTAATTACTATTCTCAAGAGGGCGATAAGCGAGCTGTGTGGAAATAAAGACGAGAATGAAACGGAAGTTCAGGAGACTAAAGATATAAAAAAAGACGAAGCCGAAGGTGTTAATGATGAAGCGCTAGAATTTCTCGCTGTGATGAGTGATGGAGACGGTTCGTATCTGGAAATTATTTAAAAAGAAAGTGATAAACTCTTGATTTTCTAATTTCGGCGTATCTGTCTTTTTGTTGCATTAATTAGCTCGTACCGCTCTCAATGCCTTGGAGATGGCCTGGCATGGCTGTAGAGGGCGAAAAATTACCAAAGAGGATATAAAGAACGTTTTGCAAAAATCTCATCTACAATATGATAGAGATGGAGAAGAACATTACAACATTATCAGCGCTTTGCATAAGAGTATGAGAGGCAGGTGAGCTAGAAATTAATTGTGCATTTTTCACATAATATCGTATTGCCATCTGATACATTCTCTATCTATTGTGCGAACCGGGGTATACGATAATCCAAGTGATGCAAATGGTAATATATTAAACATGTGAATCTGTTTGATTTTGGGTGTGGAAGATTGTTTAATTGTCGATACTGGTTGCTGCTAGCTAGTTTGTATTGGTTGGGTCGAATGTTAATCGGAGGCGAAGATCCATTATATATTGGTAAGAGACTTGTTGAATGATGAACTTGTACAACATTGTGAAGCTGTACATCACACGGGTATGTGACGAGCATTCATTATTAATGCATTTGTTTAATCTGTAAGCTCGACGACTAGTGCGCTTTGCTTCAGAAGATGTCGGGCTGGCTGATAATACTGCCTTGAACCTGGTAAATGGACGTCATAAACTATCCTTCTTTTACTAATATGTTTTATTAAGTTTATTTCTGAAATTAAAGGCTGTAGCCACATATCAAGCGTGTACATTCATAGGCATGCCGGAATGCGAAGTCAATCTTGCGCATTGCGTTGTTTATCTGGCTGAAACTGTGAAGAGTGTTCGAGTTTATCAAGCATATAATAGGGTAAAGTATGGATACTTGCTAACCTAACGTGATATTAGTACTAAGAACATTCTTCATTTAGGTTAAACATGCTGTGAACACAGAATATGCTTATCCGGTCCCATTGCACTTGAGGAATGCACCCACATCTTTGATGAAGGTTCTTTACACTATAATAAGTCCTCTTTAAACCGATAACATACAGGTATTAATAAAAGTTGTCAACTTTACGGGGCTTGTATTATACTAGGATCTCGGATATAGTAAAGGATACAAGTATAATCCTAACTATGAAGGCGAAGTCGATCAGGACTACTTCCCTTCAGAAATGGAAACGCGAGTATTCCTTGACGATGATACTTCAAAGAAGGGCAAGCAAACCAGTACGAGTGGGATGCATGGGGGGAAAGTACAATGAGTCCAGGACCAGCAATATATTGCAGACTGATAAGGCGGTAAGCGAGTCTATCGTTTGGCAGAATCCATTTGAGCTGGGTCGGGAATAACTTATTGACATTGACATGAGCGACGATTGATGAACAGCTTTATTTCTCGTATAGCGTGAGATACTCCATAAGGCGATGTTGAATAATTAATCACTAGCGCTATTCGTTTTCACTCTGAGTGACCTTGTTTTGGAAAAAATGCGAATTTAACCCTTGCTTGTTCCTTGCTATCTCGATTGCCAGAAACTAACATAAATAATTGATTGGGATAATTAACATTAACAATAATAACTATCAAAATAGCATTGTAGTAACACTTACTTGCATCCTGGTAACTGGATGTATTTAAGTAGCAAATTAATTCGTTATTCTCTTTTGATATTTTTTTACGATGAGATTGATTGGAACATACCAAATATAGTATTGTCTTCGGTGTAATCTCCTTTGACATTCTTGCGTAGTAGAGTACCGAAATTATAGTCATTTACTCGGTTTTCATACTTCATTATCCACTCCCGCCATTTCACTTTGCCCTCCGGCGACTTTAATTGATCCTCATCCACGTCACTTAAATTTACTTCGGGAAACGTTTTCATGAAGTCGTCATATATTTCGTCATCAATTCTATTGCGGAATGCCAACGAGCACAATTATTACAGCAAGCCACGATGATGACAAATTACACAGAAAATTCGTTCAAGAAACCTCACTTTGTCAAGTTAAAAGTCTTGGCATCAATAGAATTTATAATATTAAAATATGTCTCAGCATGATGAGTAGCCTTTACTACCCATTGTTTTTCTAGTCCAGCATCAATTGAATCAGTTTGTCTACATTGCCTAAAGACTCTATAGGGAAATTGACAAAACAATCTATACCGATATCAGGAAGGTTTATGACTTGTTCTGCAGTTGGAAGGCTCATCTCTCCTATACAAAATTGTGCTTTCCGACAGGGTTATTTGAACATCTGAACCAATCAGAAATTTTCATCAAATATTTGACCATGACCCATCCCTTTTAGCGCCTACGAAATAGAACAGTAATTAATATAGGATAGGCTTAATTAGTAAATATTCGATACTCTGCGGCCGAAAAGCTCACTTCCTATCCTCTCACAAGCGCAATCTCTGTGGAATCATACAATTTGTTTTTATGACTGAGGCGGAACCACTCTCTAGAGTTGAAATTACGGGCACAAATGGAGATACAATTAATTATATACTCAATTGTATAATCAGAGTTTAGTTGAGAATCGCAAGATTCACGGATGTTATGAATGACAGCTCAGCTGAGTAGCTATTAAAACGAAGAGTTGAACCTCTCGAAAACGTTGATCACTGATGCTACAAGTAACTGAGCTCTGATGCGATTGTCCGAGTTGCGATGAAAGTTTAGAGCTAGAGTTAAGAATGTGACCCGAACTGGAGGAATACTTGTCGCCAGAAATTTGTGACATGTAAAATTTTATAGAAGCATCAAAAAGGCTCGTAATATGATGGCAGATATAAAGAGGAGAGAGAGAAAACGTGTCCGAGAACGTTGGAAGGATTCAATGCTCTACACCATATTTCTGATGGATTATATATATAAAAGCAGTCGGTATTAGTATAGTTAGTTATATATTGACATCAACGACCACGGAAATAATAAATGGTGATGATTTGTTGCGTTGACATTTCGGGATACTTGCTTTCAAACTTATTACTGTTTACGGAAAATTTGTAAAATTTGATCGCCAGCCAATCACGTTCCAGTTATGCGGAAAAAATGGGGAGGTTGTGTGAGCTGTAGCAATTACACGGAAGAGTTGGCAATGAGCGACGAAGAGCGTGATGATTGTTCCTGTCAACAACTTGCAGTAGTACCTGAAACTGCAATTTGTGCGAGATGCGACAAATTGATACCGGTATTAGCAGAAGTGCATAAAGGACACTTACAACGAGCGATAGACTTGGATATTGCTAATAGTGCAGTTAAAGAGGAATCTGAAAAGTTAGAACTACAGAGTGATGAAATCGAGTCATTACGAAAGAAATTAGAAGAATTAGAGGATGTAATAGATTTGAAGACCGATGCCTTCGAGGCCTTGCAGCGTGATATGGAAATTTTAAACGAGAAATACGTTGATGAAATCGACAAGGTTGCCGAATTACAACATTCCAAAGACATGGTCGAGGGCGAATTAGAGGAGCTGAGTCGATCGTTATTCGAGCAAGCCAATGGCATGGTCGCGTCCGAAGCGAAACAACGACACGAATTAGAAGTTCAACGTAAACTACTCGAGAATCAACTTCGCGAAACTCAAGAACGTCTCGGAGCCGAATCACTTCAACTCCAAGAATTACGGCAGAGATTAGAGCAAGTCACTCAACAGCAGCCAGAATTAGAGAGCAAAAGGTCGAGTTATACCGATCCTTCATTTAGAGCAAGTATAGATTTTGCCGAGTTATTTGGTCTTCGTGAGAAAGCACCCGAAACTGCAGCCACTCTACCACCACCGACAGGTGAAGATGGAGCTGGCTTTGATCAGGAGCTGTTGAACGAGTTTAGCGAATTTATTGAGCAAAGCCAGTCACAGCCAATAAAGAATCTTCATAAAATTCCCTTCATGAGACATTGTTTGGAAGAGGATATCGACACGTGTATGCGATTTGGTAATAACCCACGAGTATCAGCTCGTAGGATAGTAGATGCCGTAGTTGCGAATACTTGTTGTATTGAGGAAGCACCTCCTGACGCTGAGAAAGAGCTGGAAAAGCATCCAAATTCTCCCATTAAAAACTCGGCAGCAAAATTAGTGCTCTGGGATCGATTTTCGAGCAATTCTACCGTAAACCCAAGGTTTTGCTGTCAGTGCTGCGGTAGACCTGGACCGCTACCATATAGATTCCGAATATCCACGTTAGACGATTGGTCTCTTATCGATCGATACTGTCGAGATCGGTTGGTTGCCGTATGCGAATTTTATGTATTTATTAGAAACGTTCGACAATGTCTCTATTCCAATCGATCGGTGGAAGATTTGTACGCAGAATGTTTGAGATTGCGGTTGCAAATGTTTTATGCTCGGCTTGGAGCATTGCCATCAATGCTCCGTACACTTGGACTAAAAAGTACTGATGTTGCATCTGCTAAAAAGCCGACAATAGAACCTTCAGAAGTGACAGAGGCCGGGCCGTCGTCACGTGAAGTGAGCGAAGCAGTAGCAGTAGTTGAGAAAGAAGTAATTGAGAAAGCAGTAGTTGAGAAAGAAGTAAATGAGAAAGCAGTAGTTGAGGAAGAAGTAAATGGGAAAGCAGTAGTTGAAGAAGAAGTAATTGTGAAAGCAGTAGTTGAAGAAGAAGTCACTGATCTGAATAAGGATAGTGCTGCCGTTGCCAGCACAAATTCGACGGATTCTATAATAAAGACAACGACGGAACAATGAGATGAGTAATGTATTTAGTTACATTACTAGAAGACTGTTCGTACTGTGCTCAGGGAATAAGATTGAAGCATCATTACTCAAGAGCAAGCGAATACATTTTTCTTTGAACGATGATATCGGCTAGCTAGACTATTTCCAAACTCTGGTGAACAATACTCGCCAAAAGTGTTGGCAATATACTGTATAAATATATCTCTTTTTTATTTTAAATTTTTTGCTCGTTTTTTTCTTCTGCTAATGAACTGTATTTCGAGAAACATTACGATTAGTTTGATCCTCTTGTTGTAAAATAGGTATAGTACGGTACAAGTATATCGTCTTCACGTAAATGTATGACACTACTTTGTCACACTATAACCTCGAACAACGGGGAGATTACAGCCCTGTACTTATATATTTCAAATCATTATGTCTTCAAGACGTATTGGAACTTGGCTAACAATATTTTGTGTATTATTTCACTTGTTATAATAATAATAATTCTCAATAAATTCGTTAAAGAATTCAATTTTTTATATGTAGTTGGTAAACATGTATGTATATTGCGTTGTACTGACTGCAAAAGAAAACAAACTTTTGAGGTTTAAACTGGAAATAGAGAATAAGAACGTTTCGCAGGCAGGGTAGTACTACAGGCAGGGTATCACCAGATGAGTGGCTTTCCTATAAAGGGTAAGCTTAAGACAATGATTTCTACGATATTATCACTTATGTTAATATTAATATTAAATACCTACTCTCATAGTAATCGAATCAATAAAACTTTATAAGACTGCTTTAATATCTGAGCCAGACTCTCGGATGGATTGAATCGATCAAAAATAGTCAACTATAATCAATCAATTGGCGTAGCTATGTTCAGATACGGATGTTATTATGGTTTTATCAAATTCTTCCGCTTTAGATATCAATCGATTCCTAAACCTAGCATGTGCCCAGCTCATCATCTTTCGAA